AACATCTTCAGTGCTAAAATGGGATGGGGTTTGCTCTCTATCCCATTTTAGCACTGAAGATGTTACCTAGCTGGGGAATGAAACATTTGCAAGAAAAGAACCAAGCTCAGAGAACCCCACGGACTCCACAATGATTTATCTGAGCAGAACCTAATTTTAGTGATAGGGAATCTGACTAGAATATACCTACCTTGGTAAATTTATCAGCTTTTAATTTGGTAGAGCTTGCAAACCCATGTGTATTATTATTTTTTTTTAATCTAGGCCAGGGATCTTGGCAGGGATCAACTGAGCTTTGGAACATTAAGAACAGCTGACACTTGGTTCCAGCTTTTGCACATCAATAACTCCTACTGTAAGTGTGAGATAAAAGAGAATGCAAACTCTGGAAAGAAGGGCTACAGACTTCGAGAAACAGCCATGCCTAATGCGTTGCTTGCAATGAAATGGCATAATGGGAAAAGAGTGTCTAAACCTAGCCTATGACGTAAATACGGTATCAGTCTTGAACCATAGGTAGATGCCAGAAGCAAACCAAACGGTTAAAAAAAATCCTGCACCATCATACGGATTCAATTTCCCAACGGCTGGATTGGCATGCTGCACTAAACTAAAACAAGCCACATGTTGTCTTAGGAAGGCGTGAAACCCATTCGTGTCTTTTCAGAAAATCAAAAGTTCCTGATATAGCCCCAGTTATGACGATTCTGGCAGACCCCAAGCCTCCCGCGGAGTTTTATACAGCTTTCCTAATTTAGAGCATTCAAACAGGCTGTCTTGATGGATGGAACCATGACTCAGTGGCATTCTGGAATGGCTCACCACAAAGATCACCCGTGCCACGCATTTCTCATTCTCGCCTTACGGTCTCTGACATCCTGATTGCCCAATCCTTTGCTCGGGCTAGAATAATTAAACAGACACGGGACCGTGGATCTGTGTTTGTTTGGTTTCGTTTTTCAAACGATGGAATAAGCGAGCGTTGCAACAATTGTCTCTGTCGTTAAGCCCAAAGGAGACCTCCTAGGTCTAAAGTTGGTAAATTCGGTTGGTGGTCTCCAAGAGCAGCATAAACATTCTCCCACCTTGACTAGCAGCATCATAATTAACTGCCTGTTGCTAGGCAACCACCCACTTCCCATTATAATCTCCCCAAAAACTCATATACATACATACCTAATATACACTTCCCCCTGCCCCCCCAAACACACTTCCTACAGGACCAAATCATATGCACCAATATTTTCTAAGAAATGGGGTCTAAGTGCGTATTCCAGGCACTAAAAATCTTGCTGCTCCAGAGTTTTATGGGAAGAAGTTGTTTTTTCCTAAGTGAGCCAACGTCAATGAAGTTGGAAGGTAATAACTTGAGTCCCTCATGATTATCAAGCTATATTTATATTGGATGATATACAAACAGAGGACCAGAAGCCACCTGATCATTTCTTTCCTTCTCTCAGATATTGAATGTGTGTCTATTTGAGCAATAAAGTGCCCCGTTCCACCGTTTCTTGCAATTTACTATATTGCTCAGGAATTTTTACAGGCTCACGTCACAGGGCCCCTCTGAAGAAATCAGAATGCCTAGCTTGGCCCATTTTCAGAAGAATAATACGCAAGGCCTCCTGGGATATCTAAAGGGGTCACCTGCTGCCAGTCAGAAGGTCAAAGAGCTCTGTCTGCTTTGCACCCAAATTGTGGAGGCTCAATCCTTCCCCATGTTGGATCCATGCAAAAATCTAGCTAGCTCGGTCTTTAATGTTCCCAGAAAGAACTCTTAAATGAATACTGTCAGCAGGTTCTCTCCTAGGCTTAAGAAAGTCAGGGAAGGTAGGGGTGATGTACCAACAAAATGGTTCAAAAAGAAAGGGTAAGGGTAAGGGTAAGACACAAGCCATTTGTTGTTTAGCCACCTCCATTTCTGGTTGACCTACTGCCTGAAACCCCTCCAGTTGGTTGATCCCACTTCAGTTGGAGAATTGGTGTAATTCTGAGCCAATCAAAGCATGAACTAGGCTCTGGTGAGTTAGCAATCCACAGACATGTAGACTTGGACCCCCTCTACGAACCATTCCAAAAGTCAAGAGAGGCAGGAACAGCTTCAGATTACATCACCCTTTATCTCACAATGATTAACCAACACCCAGAGAAACCAAAGATGGCGCTGAATCAGCATAACAAGAACCAGATCATGACATGTCAGTCACACAGAAAACAACAACACTGAACAGCACAGCCCATCTAATCACACACAAGGCCGTGTGTACACAGGTAATGATCTATTTCACAACTAACCAACAATCAACAAGCCTCACTTCTCCAGGAAGTAACTGAAAGTGTTGCTTAGCTGGGCAAGTGGAAAACCAAGCTCAGAGAACATCTATAACCCAAAATTCCAAGATACATCGCTAGAAAGATCTGCTAACAGAACAGAGGGGTATGCCAGAAGTAGAGCAATCATTCAATCAGTGGTGGGCAGAGCATGGGAGAAATTGAATTATAGCACATCTGAGTCTCAGACAGAAAACAGGAGAGAGCTACAGTTCTGGCACAACATTAGCTTAAATAGGGAAAATCCAAAGTAATTTTCAATATCCTGAATCCAACAGGAGATCCCCCACATTTTTCAGTATCTTGACTCCAATAAGAGAATCCCTCCCCCAGCCTCTGGGTTTGGACAATTCAGCCAGGTTTCCACCATGGTTGTTTGAATTCACTTGCCCTTCCTTGACAACAGAAAGCATCATAGGTAAGAGAAATAACCTGGACCATGCCTGAACTTCAACTTCCATATTCAGTCCAGGGAACATTTTCATTAAAGTCTACTACTCTAGTCTACTCACATGGCTGAGGAGCTAATACTGTTGATATTCCAAACCAAGAGCAGAAACAATTTATCATACCATAGCTAAGGGAAGAATGCCAACGAGATCCTTCTGGCTAACATAAATCTTGGAGATGCTGAGGTCAGATGTCCTTCCTCCGGGATATTCAACCTGCCACGTAATAAGCTGCGTCCCTGGCAATTCGCTGAGAACTTCCATTTCAAAATCCATCTGCAAGATCTCGGAGGGAAGCATCGCCATACTGGAGAAAAAGAGGGAAAAGAATGCATGCAGTCAGCAAACATTATTAGTAATTAATTAAGCAGCACCCTCCAGCTTTAAATAGTCAACCCGTGATTTAACCAATGAAGACACTGGAAGGGGAACCCATTTAGATCCCATTTGCTAACGTGAATGGGATTTTATGCATGCATAAAATATATGGAACGCATGTCAAATGTCCACAATGTACGAACAAGTTCAGACATTGCCCAGATTGATTTGGCAAACAACAGACTTTGTCCGTTGCTTGGGCTGAAGTCCATTCTTAACAGAATTCCAGATTTTCTCTGTTCCATCTGAAGTCCGCTGAATCTAGATCTGCAGAATCAAAGATTTACTACAATGCAATGAGTATTGTATGCCTGTCTTCACTGCTCCTGTGAGGCTGCAATTTCTGGACAATCTTCAAACACAAGCTGTTCTAAACTTACAAAGTAATCTTTGCATCTGTAAATTAGTAGCCTGCATTTTTTTAAAAAAAACCAAAAGCAAGCTAGAAAAGCTTTAATCAGAACACTGCACGCACACCCAGCCTTCTGCAAATTTCCTTCCACATTTCTGGCACCATATTCTTAGCAGCTCCGAGAGTTACCAGCCAAGCTACAAGAATATCACTCATTTTTATATTGTGTCCTTCCCTGGCGTGATATTACAGCATCTCTTGTAGTTCCGAAATGATTCACCACCAGAAGAGAATATGAGAAAGAGGAAATTTAAAGAAGAGGAAGCGATGCTTGGCTTAAAGAACCTGATCTTGTAAACCTTCCAATAAAACCAGCCACTGTGTAGGAAGCGAAGCCATAAAGATTAAACGGTGCATCCTTCTCGAAGTGACTCTACCCAGCTAGTGACTTTTAGAGAAAGGTGAGGGAAAAAGAGAAAAAGCTTGTGGTGGCTGAGCATCACCGGGCTAAGTTCTGTAGGGGGTAAAAGGCAGCTCCTAGTGTGGAACTCTGTGCCAGACAGATGTGCAAGGGAATTTTAACTGGTAATGGCTGGAGATTTATTCACAGGTAGACCTCGCTTAGCGACTGCCTCGGGTAACGGCCGTTCAAAGTTACGACAGTGATGAAAAAGGAACTTTGCAACCTATCCTCGCATTTATGACTTTTGCAGTCTCAGCCTCTCTCTCTCTCAGTCACATGTTTGCCATTACGGTTAGATAGTATGCTTTGCCCTGTGCCTGGCTTGTCCCCCACCCCCCCGCCGCAGAGCAGAGAGATTGCTTAAACAAGTGATCTCTTTACGCAATCTCTCCTGTGCCTGACCCTTTTTTTCCCCTTTTCTTTTCCCCCTTTCCAGAGTGGAGAGATTGCCTTAACTAGTTCTCTCTCCCTCAGCTACTTTTCTGCACAGTGCAGCACATCCCTAAAAAGTGTTAACTGCAAATTAAGCTCTGTGATCTTAATTAGCCGGCTGGTAGCTGCTGCCTGTAAGTGACAAGACTTTAACCAGTTTCTCACTTTTGGCTTTTGTTTGCCTCCTAAGTGATTGGGGGCTGGAGCGGGGAGCATGCTAGGCAAACGGCCAGCGTTGGTGCATTCCTTTCGAGGTCAATCCCCCCTTGTATGCCCGCTTACTCTCTTGTAATCCCTTCCTCTCCAATGAATGTAAATGTCAACATCAATTCCCTTCTTGTGAATTATCCCAGCGCCTGGGTGAGCATTCCAAAGGGCAGGGGAGCAGGGGGAAAGGGCTATAAGATTTGCCCCTTTGCCCAGCTTTCTCACGAGTCGAGTTCTGGAAAACCTCCCCATTATTGGGGCTCACCCAGATGTTTGAGACTGCATTCTTCTGACACTGTAAATCAAAGGAAACCTGAAGTGAAATTGTAAACACAGTCGCGGTCAGATGATTTTCCACCTAGCATTTTGAGACACTTCCTTAAATTACATTTTTGCCCCAGACTCAGATTTCTTTTATCTGACCATTTTCTTGGTTGCGGCTCTTCCTCCTGTTCCTCAAGGTTGTTTCTTCTTCCCATTACAGGCACTGATGGGCGAAGGAAGACAAGCAAGGAAATGAATGAATGATAGCAAAGGCCTTAATTCAGATCAAAACTACCCAAAAGGCAATCCATTCACAATGATCAAAACTCCAAACAGAGGACATGGCCTTCAACTCTTAACCACCGTGAGATTTTGATAAAGTTTCTTCACCAACACTGAAGGAAGCACATCCTCTCTTGACAAGTAGGAACTGGTTCATTTAAAAAAACAAAACAAAAGACAGATTATCTGGGAGCTAGATCCTGGATCATGCCACACCACATAAAGAAGCTGGTTTTGTCATTTCTGCTGAGACTTTCACTTCAAAGATACTATTTGGGATTTTTAATATTCAGAGTTCCACGTCTGGATGTGAGTGGATGAAAGAAATGTGAATACTCACATTTTTTTTTATTTTTAAAGGAAATCTTGTCATCAGCTCCCCTGTTGAATTAATGGCCCAGAATGATCCCCGCCCCTTCTCCCTTAACACTGTATTAATTCTTCGCCTCTTGATGTCAAAGCCGACAAACGGGCAATTTGCAGACGACAATCGAGTGCAACTTTATCTGTGACCTGAAAATGAGTGGAAAGCTGGGTTTTGTGGAGGTTGTATGATGAAACCTAGTCAGCTTTCACAACGCAAAGAGAAGCATGTTATGGACTAGACACAGATGTCTGAGACAAATAATCTGAGATTGTTCTGGGTTTATGCTGGCTTCTTCATGCCATAAATTAAAACCAAAACTAGCAATGAATGAAATGGTTCCTTTTCATCCTATATCTACGCATTAGTCAATGCGATGCGGCTGTTGTAACTACTTTGCCATTTATTAAATCTTCACAAAAGGATTTGAATCCATAGTGGGAAGTGCATTTTTCAATTCTTCCCCACTAAAAACACAGATCTATGAAGTCATTTTCTCTCGCAAAACATGCACTCCGACTCCCGCCCCCCCCGAGTGGGTGGGATTGAAAACCGTAACTGTTGAGATTTGCAAAGCTTTATTGCTCTCAGCACTTTGACAGATATAATCAACATGTCCATTAGATAAAATCAACATCAACACACACATTACACAATAGTGAAACTCGGGGACAGAACTGGAAGCAAATCCATAGATGCGACAGCAGCAAATTTGAATTTCTGCCATTCCTCTTGTTGGGGAGACCCTACTAAGGTGAATTTAGGAAGCCTTGTATCTACAAGATAAGTGTGCCTGGTGTGTAATCCTTACACAAGTGTCTATGCCAAGAATGGGGCACACACAATTCACAGTGCTGACTTCATTTTTGTGGCTCTGGAGATTTCCAAGACCATATAGCCAAAAAGCAAGGGTGTCACCCTTGCTGGTTTGCGACAGAAAACTGAAAAAGTTTAGAACGGTAAAACCTAGGTCAAGATTGGCCACCAAAACACTGCCCCTGTTGCTCAAAATCACAGCTCTGCAGCCCATGGTTGCATTATTAAGGGCTTGACCACGGCTGCTGATTTTGAAGTCCAAGGTAGCACCTAGCTGCTCAGAAATTCAGGATTGAGGGCAGCCCTCCAAGGTAGGCTAAATGAAGAAACAGAGATTCCAGAAATGCCCTTTGTGGTTGTTTCCCACAGGTCATTCCCACAGTTCCTCCTTTGTGTAATGGTATGTGGGAATGACCTTGGGAGACAGCAGGAAGAGCTGTAGACTAGACAACCTGTGTATAAAAGGTATCTCAGTCCACAGAAGGAGAGGAGACGTGGGAAGCAACTCAGAAGAGACCCTCCCTAGTTTTCCAGAGAGTAAAAGGAAAGGAGGGGAGAAATACTTTCAGTCTTGCAAGATTCTGTGAATGTAACTTTACCATAAAAACGTAGCTGGTACTCCTGGTTGTGCTTCTTGTATAGACTACCTCACAGGGCCAACATTTGTCTCCATGCTACATATATGTTCAGATGACATGCTTGCATTCAGGATGGCACGCATTTTCAAGTTCAGACATTCCTTCAGACACGTGCCTAGCTTTATAAGACCCCGCTATTGTCTTGGACATCTCTCGACATGAAAAATCCTACTGTAAATTGCCATGTTATAGGAAGGAAATGATAAATCAGTGCTGAATTTATTACACACAATCTAATAATAATCCAATAAATTATTCAAGCAAGAGTTTACCCACTCTTTCAAAATGACTCCATCACGAAGCAGGACAAATTGGTGTTCCTGTCAAGTTTAGAATGAATTGTGGAACCGTGTTGTTGTTGTTAATTATTGATTGTGTAAGGCTAGTTTAGGAGACAATTGTGCCTGTGACTGGCTGGGATTAATCGCTGCCTTAAAGGAGAACTCAGCCTTTTTTTCATCATAAGGACTAGAAACCCAAGAAAGGTATGTTTTATTTGATTTTCCTCCCTGCAGGGCTGATGTTAAAAAGCAGGTCAACAATGACAATCTACAAGGAATTCTTTATATTTCCACAACGTGCCAGCTCACTACATTGTAACATGACCACACAATTTGCTGTTCTACCCAACTTGATTTTCATGTGATGGCATGGTGAACATTTCCCTAGATGTGGGGTCTCACCAGTTCCCTCCTAAGATCACCCCAGAACTGGATGAGTCTTCTGATCAAGAGGGTCTTATTCCTAGTCACTTGGTATGCAAACAAACTTTAAGATGGGTGGACTTCCACTCCCAGAATTTCCCAGCCAACTCTGAGACTTGAAGTCCACACATCTAAAGTTGCCAAGGTTGAGAAACACTGCAGTGGACCTAACTCCATCACCTTCTTCAGTTTCAGTCATGAGATCATGGCATCAGAAGACACAAAGAACTTGGAGTGAACTGACCATTTCCAACTGGCCCATCCTGGATATTCACTGGACCCAGGACCAGAGCAACAGTGTATCAGGATAGATGATGGCTTAGTGTACCCTTAAACATGGATTTTAAGAACCCTGAACCTATCCACTTTCCTATCTTGCCACCCAGCA